CGTTTCAGCACCCCGCTGTTTCCCGCCAGGGTGTGTGTGTGTGTGTGTGTGTGTGTGTGTGTGTGTGTGTGTGTGTGTGTGTGTGCAAAGGCCGTGATTCAGAAAAAAACTCAGGCCATCAAAACCGAAGCCAAAATCCCATGCAAGTTGTAATTCTCCATTTCTAAATTCAAACACTGCACTTAAGAGGGGAGGGGGGGAAACATACCAGGGAGCATCGAGCCTCTGCTACAAAGCAACATACACGTAACACCTGCGGAGTCAGATTCTGAGTTTTGCTGCTCAATGGGGAAGGTTTACTACAGACTTACCTTAAGTCGGCTGCTATCAAATTAAAGCCATTGTAAAGGTGTCCCTCCGAGGCCACTTTCTTCAAATAAGAGTAACTGTCCATTTCTGATGTCAAGAAATTGGTCACCAGGGCACCTGCAAAGAGAGAGGGATATAACAAGTGGTTTCTAACACAGGAGCATCGCTTCCCAGAAGGGAGACCAGATATTTCGCCACATCAGGTAAGCTTAGTAGTATTCCAGAACTGAATGAGCTGTGAGAGTGAATTCACTCGAACTACTGTACATCTAGGGAGGGAGGGAGGAAGAAAGGAAGGGAGCGTGGGAGACAGGAAGGAAGGCAGGGAGCAAGGAAGGGAGGATGGAAGGGAGGGAGGGAGGGAGGAAGGCAATGGAGGGAGGGAAGAAGGAAGGAAGGGAGGATTGAAGGAAGAACAAAGTAAATGGAGAGAGGGAGGAGGGAAGGAGAAAGGGAGGGAGGGAGGCAGGGAGGAAGGAAGGCAAGGAGCAAGGGAGGGAGGGAGGAAGGAAAGGAAGGGAGGGAGGGAGGGAAGAAGGAAGGGAGGGAGGATTGAGGGAGGAATGAAGTAAATGGAGAGAGGGAGGAGGGAGGGAGGAAGGAAATGAAGGAAGGAAGGAAAGAAGGAAGGAAAATGAATGAATCAAACCCCAAAGCACCAGAGTTTCCCTAACAGAAGAGCACTTGCAATAGCCCTTAGATTTATATACCACTTCATAGTGTTTTACAGCCCTCTCTGACTCTGGTTTACAGAGTCAACCCCCAACAATCTGGCTCCTCATTTTATTGACCTCGGAAGGATGGAAGGTTGAGTCCACCTTGAACTGGTCAGGATTGAAGGAATCGAACTCCTGGCGGTGGGCAGTGAATCAGCCTGCAATACGGCAGTCTAACCACCAGGGCTCCCTCTTTAACTATAGACGGTAATTACAGTTTTTAATTACCGTATTTTTCAGACTATAAGACGCACTTTTTTTTCCTCCCAAAAGGGGGTGAAAATTTCTGTGCGTCTTATAGACCAAATATTGCTGTAGCCTCGCTCACCCGCTGGCCATTTTTTGGCCTCTCCATGCTGTGTTTTCAGGCCTTTTTAAAGCCCGTTTTGGGGGCTTTTATCAGCCCATTTCAAGGCTTTTGGGCTCATTTTTGAGACTTTTCTTGGCCCGTTTTTTTCCACCAGAAAAGGGCCGGAAAAAGCCATGAAAATGGGCCAAAAAAGCCTCAACAATGGACCAAA